TAAGTGCCCTGTTCAGCAAGGCATGCCAGGGTCTTACACCATAAAGCAGCCAATGTACACTGTCTTTACACTGAATGCTGCCTCGTAGGTGTCAGAGTGATCGTTTGGAGGTTACACACAGCTTTCTGGGAAAGTTATTCTTTGTAATTATATCATGTTTGATAATAAATGCGGTAGGAATGACCTGAAATTCCAGATTCCTTACAGAAACAGAATACATGTATACCACCAGAAGATTTCATATGTATCTTAAGGTATTATTCTCGGTCTCAAACACAAGAGAACGTGTTTGTATCTTAAACTGGTGGCCAGTAGCACATGCTCAACAAACCATATCTTTTTAGATCAGGACATGGTTTTCAGACTAACCTGATTTAAATATTAAAAGTCCAGAGTGGATTTTACAGGTCAGCTTACAGTGGAATCTGCACTACACAGGCCTTAAATCTTAAATCTACCTTAAATCAATTAATTACTTTTCCCCCAGATACAGTAAATGTATAAATAAGTTACATATCCCTATGTAATCACTATTGTCTCTTTTTTTTATCACAAAAGTATCTTTTATTTTTGCCAGAAACAGGCTACATGGGAACCGATGTTAGGTAAATTTCTTAATATTACAAAAATTATGTATTAATTACAAATTAAACTGATTTATATGCTTTTTTCCTTGTCTGTGTAATGTTTCTCTTTGTCTTTCACTTCCTGTCTCACACATATTTTGGTAATATAACAATAAAATGACGATTTTTAATGAAAAATAGAGGGGTTTAAGTAAAGACACCATCTGTAGTTTTTAGCTCCTATTTTATCAGCCCATTTTAATTTAGTTGGCTACTTGGCGACTAATTTAATAAGCCTATAACGAAACGTAAATTGTTGTGATTTCTATCCGTAAAGTATTCTTAATAAAAAATGATGTTTTTGAAAAATTCTGGTGGGGGGGCATCGAGTGTTGTAATTCTTGCTCTTTCGGGAAAACAAGTAATCTTATATTCTGTTGATTTTCTCTCTACATGGCATCGGTGAGTGAGGTATGGCGCCCTCTGCGGAACCAGCGATGTAACTGCAGGTGTGAACTTCACAGCATACGCGGCTTTGTGGAAACTATGAACAGAGCGCTGAGTCTTTCATCTTCAAACCCTCTAAGTACGAACTCTGGTTTCAATATCTGACGGCTCAATTTCAAATTTCAGTCGTTTTCACTCTAGCGTGTTATGACTTGCATACTTGTAGCTATATTTCAAGTTTGGCGGATTTTTCATTACTTTTACCTTTAGTTTCAAAACCCATGTAACTTAAGTCACGAAAATATAATTTTCTGTTTTGCGAATATGCATAATAACACAGTTTAGTGTATATTATATTTCTTTTCATATATCAGTTTCATTTGGCAAACAAAGCAACAGTCATGTCATAAAATAATTCGTTATTTTTTTCTCAGACTTTGACATTATTATAGCCTGCAATTAATTACTGAGCATACCGATTGTAGCCTATCCAAAATATGGTGTTAGTATAAAACAAATTCGACATTTGCTTTAAAAACAAAACGGTCATGCGTCTCAAAGTCTGTTAATTTCCTGACAGTCAAAGTCACTGCGTTCCCGGAGCCGCCCCTTCTGGACTTTGATGTTATTTTGTTGTCAAGCTGGGGGAGACGTCCGCGAATGTCAGGCCGACTGACACCGCTGCCAAGTCGGTCTCGAATCGCGCCGTCTGGCTTGGCGGCCCCGGCTGCGCGGGGGCAGCCCCCGCGGCACCATTCCAGGGCCCCCGCAGCACTTTGCTCACCTAATGGTGTTTATACGGAGAAGGCGGGGGGGTTGGGGCAATGCCGAAATTACAGTTTCATCATTTAAACCAGGTGTTTGTTACTGCATGAACTACTTTGTGGTGAGATAAACTAGGACTATACTTCACCTGATAAACATTTAGGGCGTCTTCAGAATCTAGCACTTAAACCCCCTTTTCTTGATGCTCCTGTAATTCATATTACAGGACGTTTTCGGTGGGCGACGTGCTTGGATCCTGGACGGCAGCTTGTTTTGCTCGCCGTGCCCGGGACCGTCTCGCCCACGCGGGCATCATGCGGGCATCATGCGGGCACGGAGCGGCGCAGCCCGTCTGGAGCCAGTTTGTTTTATCGCTCACACACCACGAGTCTGTATACGCGGGGCGCGATGACGCACTTGGGCCGCTGACAGCCGAACTAGCGGCCGCTGCGTTACTGCAAACCTTTTTACCGTCTCTTTGGGAGCAGCTGAAGGGGAGTCATTGACTTAATTTAGATTTAGTTTATGATTTCTAAGGTAAAGCAAACCCCGGTCAGCACCCGAGGAATAGATAACCCAGTGGATGAATGTGCGTAGAAATCTGGCAGATAGAGTGACCGCCAGTCGATGAGCGACTTTCTCTTTTTAGCTCCACCGGGCCAACTTTATACTGTATATGTCATTCGGAATCCGTAGATATCTGCATTTAGAAAACAAACGTACTCCAGCCTGCTCGTACACAGTTTTTTTCAGACCGCGGTGTTTTTCACACTGCGCCCTGCGCCTGAACAGCGCTGTAAATATTTTATTTTATCGGAAATATGATCCCCGGAGCCCGTATAAAGAAACCTTGACATCCAAAAATCACAAAAAGGAGACATTTTGTCAATAGTGGTTCTCCATCTTTCTCGCTGCTGACAGATGCAAAATGAATTATGCACTCTTTTGGGACGTGCTGTTCCTTTTGTGAATACTTTGTGTTTTGGAATGGTAACTACAATTTAGGTAGGCCTATTCATTTAAATACTTCATAAAAACATTCCAGCGATTCATCTGGGAACACTATTGTGTTTGTCTGTAACTGTTTATACAATGTTAAACTTTTAGGAAACGTTTCGCACGAATAGCTGAAGAAACATCTCATGACAGGGACCCCTTAACAACGCAAAGGGGGGAACAATCGACGACCCGTTTACTGTGGCGTAAGCAGAACATTTTGATTAGGGTAGCTATCTAGGGCCAGTTATATTTTGGGGGGTGGCACAACACATCGTCTCTATAATATGGTTTCGCTTAGAAAATAATAGATATTTCGATTTTATTATTTTGATATGGGCTGGCACCAATCTAATGGTGGTTCGGCATTTACCTGATCCATCGCTGCGCGTTTGTATCCATAATCAGTCGTGTTGGACTAAACGGGAGATGCAGGCGGTGACATCACCTCCCAGACGCCAATGACAAGCATTTCCGAGTAAATATTCGCTCATTTTAACGCGCGGATAACGGTGGGGAGCAGCACAATACAAGTCCCCCAGAATGTCTATAATCATTTGATGATAAACATGAGGCACGGGCACTGCAATACGTCATTTTAATTCAGAATGTTTTGATAGGACTTATCAAGACTGCATTCATAAGAGAACCCATGCAACAAATATCTTTGATGAGTTCTTCAGCTGACTAAACTAGGCAATTGAAAATCCGTTTAATGTCAACAGGATAATGAATACTAATGCAGAAAATCAATATACTCCTCTGTATTTGCATAATGTTTCACCATTTTGGTTTATCAACAATGTCCATTTTTATTACAGAAATTTAGCTTTTAATGTGACAAGTATTTTTTTCTTTCAAATAATTTAGTTTGAAGTAGTATATTAGATGTATAGGCTTGATATATATTACATATAAGCTACTAGATAAATATTCGATATATAATGTTATTTATGGCTATATTTCTATAGCTGTATTACAATACTTAAAGGAAGAATAATTATTGGAAGTCCTGTTTTAATGTTTAAAACTCCACAATCAAACATTCTATCACATCGGTCGGTATCACTTTTTGGCTTTTAAAATAATATATAATACACAATGATTTTTTTATGCTTACTGTGCCACGAAATTTTAATCATAAAATGTTAAAATAAACACTTCACCAAATGCATATCTATTGCCGTTGAATAATTACTCTATACGTGATTAGTTCTGTGGACACGTATCATATATATATATATATATATATATATATATATATATATATATATATATACGTATATATATATATATATGCAGGCGTACTAAGATCGTAACAATATATATATATATATATACGTATCACATATACAAACACACACACGTGTGTGTGTGTGTGTGTGTAGGTGTGAATGATACACACTCACATACACACATATACATAGACTAAATTTCTTAAATTACCCTCATTACCATATATGGCTTGGTAATACAACCATCTTTATGTGAATAATAATAATAATAATAATAATAATAATAATAATAAAAACACTAAATCTGAGAAATAACCTGAATTACAATTAAAACGCAAAAAAATCAATTATGATCACAGCCTCATCCTACTTCATCATTGTACAGGATGATCTCTGTCACGTCACATTTACATAGTCACGCGCTGAGTGTGCAGTCCCCGCACGCGCTTAGGGCTCCGAATCCCGGCGGTATTTCACGTTCTCTCCCTGCTGTGCGAGTTTCCTTATCCTGTTTTTCCCCTATAGTCCGAAGAAAAATATCAGGGTAAATTGTCAACTGTATATTGCCCATACTGTGTGCGTATGAGTTGTCTAGCCTGCTAGGATGCAGCCGTGCGTCTCGCCTCCTGGCGACACTGTCCAGGATAAATGAAGATGGATGGATAGACATGCATAATTCCTGTAGTTTAACAATCTACTCAATTAACAGGAATTAATATTGATACAAAATGTTCATTTATAATGTACCAACTTGACATCCTGACATTTGTTTCTGCTTATAACAATTTAAAACGGAATTACTTCAGGATGATTTTATGGTCTCCTCCGCTACAAAAATAAATGCATTCCTTTCGACTAGGTTTGGCGCTGTTCTATTAATTATAAGAAGGTCGTTACAGTTATTTAGTTGGCTGTATTCAATTTACAGCGTCCCACACTGATGAAAAGCCCGAACAACTGAAAGCACGCTTGCGCGCTTCCCTGAGCGCTGGTTAGCTGCGCGCTTGCGCACTGCGGACCTGTAGTGGCGAGAATTGTGAATGGGGGGTGCCTTTTGGGTGTGCAGTCATAAGTCGGGCTCGGACGAGCCAGGAAGTAACTTCGAACTATGAAGAGAGACGGTTAAAGTGAGGCGAGAAGCTTTTGTTGTCAGGGGATTGAACACACGCCGCTGATCGGAAAGGAGTCATAGCCAATAGCAAAAGCCACCCATATTGCTCGCAGTGGCCAAAATTGGCCTCAGTAGCTGGGTTTTGAGACTGGGGAAAAACAAAGCACTAGTGCATTATAGCGCAGTTTACATCGGATCATTGCTGTAGTGAGTCACTTAAAACCAGGCAACGTATACAAGAGGAAGGAAGAGAGTACAAGCGCGACCTGCGGGAGTCCAGCGTTTCTCTAGCGGCGTGACAAATAAGAGAAGGCACGAAAATTGATCAAATAATATTTAAGATGCCTCGGGTGGTCCCGGATCAGAGAAGCAAGTTCGAAAACGAGGAATTCTTCAGAAAGCTCAGCCGGGAGTGCGAGGTAAGCTGAATAAATAAGTAAGTTACCAAGTGGCGGATACGAGTTGGCTAATGCGAATACGAACAAGGTTAGCTTGCTATATTGCTATAATTTATAACCAGTATATGAAGTTTAGCATTTTGTATTTTTAATGCGCACGCTCTATAACGCGAAACCGAACATTATTTAAGTCTGTTATTCAATTATAATTATTGCTTGGTATAAACTTCCTGTTCTTAAGACGATTGTGTTTCTTTTTTTAAATAAAACAATATGGATTTTTTTTTCGCTCATCCTGGGTCACATAGCGAGTTTTGACAGTGTCCTTGATGTACAGGCTGTAATCGAAGCATGTGTCAGATCGTAAGTTTCTCGCGTGTCCGATCGCATGCGTTTTGAATGGCAACCACACAGCAAAATACCACCATTTTTAATAGCATGCCGTTTTAAGATTTTGTTTTCATGATAATGTTTACTGAGCTCGCTGCTGAATAGCCTGGAAGTAAGAAGGTTATAAGTGCAGCTTTTCGTACCGCTTTTAATACCCTGCGAATTAATGCAAGTTTCTAATGTGGGCCATTTTTATGTATTGCGTTTTAAAAATGTAAAGAATGATTTTTTCATTTCTTCTCCCCCTTTTCTCCCCAGATAAAGTACACCGGTTTCCGAGACAGACCCCACGAGGAAAGACAAGCAAGGTTCCAAAATGCTTGTCGGGACGGACGCTCGGAAATTGTGAGTTTTTATCCTTTTTGGGAGATATTTACTACACTGTCAATTAATACTAACCTCAGTCGGTAAAGCAGCATCAGGTCTGAAGTATCATATTGCGAAGTATAATTACCTGGAAACTAGACAGACTAGTCACAGTGCAGGCAATAGTTTTGCCATTTTTCTTTCATAATTTAAATAAAGTAACGAAATGCTGTATGTGGGATTGCGGAGCTTTGCAAGGGAGTCCCACATGTGTTCAAACGCCTTTTGTGTAAGCTAATTCCTTTTCAAGATGGTTAATTAAACTCTTCCGGATGTTTCCACTAGAACTGACTGTTAAGGATACGGACGTTGAACAATGAATGGAAGCGCGGCTCTGCGCTCCGGCTGCGGCTCCTTTCTAGCGGCACCAGATAACAGCCCTTCCGCAATTCGCTGCCTATTTCTGCATTTTCACAAGCTTCTCCTATCACGTTATCTTACTGGTTTACTACACATTTCATAATATAGACTGGCTTAGTTTAAAAGGATCTAAAGTAAGGGGTTTGTTATAGCGGCAGCCTAAATAAGACAGTGATCCTTATTATCGCTGTTTCTGTTTTATGGTGGCGTGAATTTGCCGGGAATAAATCTCAGCCGTGCGGGTCGCATTTTGACGACAAAACCTAAACTGCATTGTCATACAGATGAAAACTGATTTCCAGTAGTTTAAATCTTCTGAAAGCACAATACTTAATAAAATATCTGTACCTCACTTTAAAGTCAAAGAACATAACAGGTTTATACGTTTTATGGATGTACTGTATAAGCCTTTTTCCTGTCTATTCCTCTGCCCCCCCACCCCTGATTTTCCCGTCTAACTAATTTAATTATAATTCCGAGCCATTTCTGAGTCTGCATGACGAACAGTCCAGTCAGGGTCGCTCTCTCTGGGTCTCGCTAATTTCTCTATAGCTACATCATTCTGTTTCGGAGCTGAGCGTCTTATTATGATGGTGGCTTGGAAAGAACGCTATTTTTTTTTTTTTTTTTTTAGCAAATAGTAAGATGGAGTTTTCTTGATAGGGTTTTCTGTTTTGCTATCTGTGTGTCTGTTTCTTTTTTGAAATAATTAATTAATGGTGAGTAGATTGGGGGAAAATTAACAATTAACATTTGAAAACTATTTCTGGCCAGTTGTTTGTTCTGAGCTCGGTTTTTCACACCAAACCTTCCGGATTCTGTTTTCTTAATGCTAGTGGAAGGTCTTGTCTAAAATAATGTATTGATTTTTTCTCCCCCCCCCCCCTCCCCACCGCACCTCCTCCCGCTTTCTCCATTCGAGGCTGTATCCCATATCCCATTCTGCCAGCAGTGAATGTTGGTAAAATAGAATCAGATGTGTGTAACTCAATACTTCAAATTGAGAAAATGATGACTCTTGTGTTTTTTTTTTCCTCCCTTCATTTTTCTTGCTGTTCTTTTGCTGTTGTGAGAACTGCTGCTTGGCTCGGGGCACCCTCTCTCTCTCTCTCTCTCTCTCTCTCTCTCTCTCTCTCCCTCCCTCTCTCTCTTTCTCTCTCTCTCTCTCTCTCTCTCTCTTTCTCTGATGTGAAGAATAAATGACTGGCTGCATAATTTATGTTAGGCCTTGCTTTCTGATCCTCTTTGTATTGATTTCTCCGTAAAAGGCTTTTGTGGCGACGGGAACCAATCTCTCGCTGCAGTTCTTCCCAGCCAACCTGCACGGGGACCAGCGCCAGGCTCCCACACGAGAGTACGTCGACTTTGAGCGTGAGACAGGAAAGGTAACCATTTCTATACTCTTCATTTCCCCCTCCTCCTCCTCCGTACTACATAATCTCCTCATGAAACATTTCCTGGACGTTTGTCTCCACGTTAATCTTTGTGAGCAGATGCCGTGTTTATAAATATTGATGTAACAGGGTGTCACACATTCTAAGGGGAGTTTATCATCTTCTTAAACTTTAACAAGCTAATCTTGAGTGGAGTGGAGAAAACAAAATGCCTAGTCCTGCAGGCGTATAAATCAGGAGCTCCACTGGACATTTTTGGAAATTAATTTAAAAATATAGGCCTACACACACACACATACACACACACAGAAATTGTTATCGAAACCATACATAAAAATGTATTAAAATGACTCGCACTGAATATCACATCGAGTAAAGTTTTCCTGTTGTTTCATTTGTCGCATGTAGCGAATGTGCTATAATTAATGTTTGTCTGATATTGTCAATGTATCACATGTGTTGGAGCTAAAGATCTCCTTACTGTCCAGTAAACAATTGATGGTTATCAGCCCTGCTAAGAAAATGAAGCCCGACGTGTTTGCTAAAGCCTACTCAAGGTAGTTCACAACGCGTTTAATTGGCAAGATGTCTGCCAGATAGATAGATAGATAGATAGATAGATGGATGGATGGATGGGTAGATTTGAACACTTTCCCTTTTCAAAACCTCACATTATCACGACCTGTGTCGTATGTGAAGATTAACACCAACAAGCAAACACACTTGATTACGATTCTAAGTATTTTCCGGCCTGTGGTATATCTGTCAAGTGTCATTGCATCAGTGATGGCCTCAGTGAGGCAAAGGGTCGATGGGTCTTGACTTCCTGATCTTTACCAGTAAGAGGGGCTGTAAATAATTTATGCTTGTCGCTGAACAGTGTCTGGAGGGCCTAGCGCTGCGGCAGGGGACCCGGGGAAGGTGACTGCCCTCCATCGCCACCAGCATAGCTGTGTGTTTCCTGAGTGAATAAAAATAAAAGCGAGCTGGAAGAGAGTGCGTTCGTGCGCGTCTGCGGCAGGGAGCTCACCTTTCACAGGTGCAGCTGGACACCAGAGCTGGAGGCATCTTCTGCTGGTTCGTGAGCAGAGGCCCTCTGCCCGCTGTGCCAACCCCTCGGTCCTGGGATCCCGGGGGCGTTCGGTTTATCAGACGGTAACTCCGTCTTCGGCTTGTTTAACAGGCTTGTGAGAGAGGTGAAGTGTGGTCTGAGATGCTCTTCCATGAAAGCGTAAATATTATGACCCCGGGGGAAGCTAATGAGCGTTGGTCAGGCCGGCGGCTGGCCGAGTGCAGACCATTAAGGGACGCCACGATTCCGCGTCCCATATGATGTTACAAAGCGGGAACGTCGCGGAAATGGGTGCAGGCGATCTCTGCACTGGGTATCCGCTACCTGTCGATGTTCCTCTCTTGTTACGGAACTGGGCTCGGCGGAGAAGTAACCAAACACATGGAGTGAGTCATCTCAGTGCCCACGACACGCTGCGGCCCAGCTGTCTCATTATTATTATTATAATGATCATTGTCATTATTATTTTATTATTATTTATTAGTTTATGTATTAAATATAATATTAATTATTATTATTTCGTTTATTTATTTTAAAAAGGATGGTATGGTTCGGCCACTTGAGCTGCAGCCGTAGGCCTTGTTCAGTAAACTCACATCATGTGTGAAAATGGTTCCGAAGTGAGTAATAGACTTGTGTAAGAAGTGGGTGGGTGACACCTTGACACCGCAATTCTAATTCCTCAACTCACAGGAAAAAAAAAAAAGGCTGAAGTATTTTGGCGTCGGGGGAACTGTGCGTTCACACGCTTTGGCAACCTTGGGACAGCGTTTCCATAACCGCCCGGGCTTCCGTGCTTGCGGACCTTCCAGACGGGGTTCGGAGGAAGAGGAAAGTTCTGCCACAGCCGGCTGTGGGTGGCAGTGGGAATTTGCGCCCCCACTGCCCCGCAGGCACTGGGCCACCTCTCTCCCCTGCACTGGATTCCGGTGTTTACTAACTCGGTCATATGTGCCCACGGCGCCCACGCTCACATGCCGACGAAGGCCCACGCCGCGTTCGCCCGCACATGGGCGCCTGGGTCCCCCCCAATGCCGTTCCACGCCTCAGTGACTCTCGCAGAAAGCCGGCCGGCTGGCCTTCTCCAGTCGGAGCCTCACAGCAGGGACTCCGCCTCTGATGTGGTTCCTTCACTCTTTCTCTCATGCGCGCTGCTCCTTCCTCTCAGCCTCCCACCCCCACCCCCACCCAGCCCTCTCTGGGGACTGAATTAAGTCAGAACTTGGCAGCTGGAGGCTGACGGTAGTATTATCTGCGCGGAGCGGCAAGATCTCCTCCAGAAGTGCCCTGCGGTGCAGCTTAAACACAGGCTCCGAGTGTCACCACCGGCTAATGGGAGCCAGCTGCGTGGGAGGTTAATTTTAGCGGTAGCGCGGGGCCTAGGGGTGGAGGTGCGGTTAACCCTCATCTCGCTGCCCTCTTTCCACCATGGCCTCGTAGCTGGGGGGCCGTGCTCCTGGTGCTGGGGGTCGTCCCCTGAATACAGTCCGTGCCTGCAGGGATGCCCCCTCTTAAATTTTGCAGTGTTCCCAGTCTCAGCAGCTGGCCGGGGTACTGCCGGCTCGCCGGGAAGATGTGCCGCCCGCCTTGCGTAAACACGGGGAAGTGGATCGACGCCATCGCGAGAGGCCTCGGACGGAAAAATAAGACGCCGATGAAAGGAGCCATTGTTTCTGCAGGAGTAACTCGCCGTCCTGCTGGTGTGCGACCGTGAAGTGCGTCTGACGCCTGCGTGTGCGGCCGCGGCCTCCAGCCCCCGCATGCCATCCCACGCCGGGGCCATTTGGCCAGATTAAGCCCCCGCCCGGGCTCCTGTTTTATGGATCTGGGATTTGAGAGATCATCTGCTGTCTGTCTCTGCTCCTCAGGGGTAACTCTAAACCTCCTGTGTTCATCTTGGCATGGGATGGGTTGGGGAAATGAGGGGGTGCACTTGGCCCAAGACTCGACTGGAAAGGAGTGGAGTATGAGGAAAGAAAATGAACGCCAATTTTGATTGAAGAGGCGCTTTAATCTTAACCATGTACATCTCCTCCAACGAACTCAATCCTCTTGAAATGGGAGACTCCCCAAGCACCAGGCTTGGCCTTCAAGGACATAGTGGATCCTCAACTTGGCCTCTTCCTTTTCCTCCTCCTCCTCCTCCTCCTGCCTTTCACCCGTGGCGTACCAGCCCCTCGGCCCACTCCCCAGGGTCGCTCCTCTCTATGGTGGTATGTGTGGTTTCTCGGTGGGGGGGACAGGGTGGATTTGAAAAGCGAGAAAAAATCCGGCGTAAATGTCGACGCCAAGAAGTTGGGTCGCGTCCCCCCGCGCTGAAACGGCAGCGGCTGCTGCTATTGATATTGGCCGGGCGTGGAGCTGGTGGCGTCGTGAATGTTTATGTTCAATAAAGAGGACAAAAATGGACGCAAATAACAGGGGCAGAACCACTAAAGACTTGTTGAATATTATTCTTGATATGAAAAACGCAAACCTGATATCTGTTATGCTAAATCTCCGGTTGGTATTTTGATTTTTTTTTGTCTTCCCCCACTGCCGCTATAAATCTCACTCTGTCTTTGTGTAAGAATGTCTGCTTGGGGGCAGATATGTTGGAGCAGACTAAGTAAATGAGTTGATTATGAAAACGGCTGCAGACTAAGGCGTCACCACAGGAATTGGAGTTAATAGTTTTGTGTTAAAGCTTGTTCCCGGGAGCTTGGGGCTGAGGTGCCTGTGTGTGTGTGTGTGTGTGTGTGTGTGTGTGTGTGTATCTGCACATGAGTGTGTGTGTGTGTGTGTGCGCGCGCGTGGGTGTTCTGCGCAGCCGACTGCAGGAATGCACTTTCATATTCATGAAGGGCTGCGGATCACAAACACGCTGTCAGCTGTTTGGCGTCGGCTTCACCAGAGAGGAGTAAAATGCAGGCGGCAGTGAAGGGCTTTAATTTTGCCCACTGTTGTTGACAAGTTATTTAAGGAAGTGAAATCGGGATCAGATGTGATTACCACTTTACCCCCCCCCCCCCCACCCCCCGACATGGATCCTTTGTCCTCGCCATGCATGTCCAAATGATTCGGCACTGGATTCCGGAACGTCTCCGTCTGCCGGGAGTCCAGCGAGTGCCGGGCGTGGTGAACCTGGTATGGTGTGGTGGGGGGGGGGGCGGTGTTTGGGGAGGGGCATTGTGTGCTTAATGAGTTCATCATGAGCCCCTGCCCTTAATGAGATGCACAGCCGGGCCTTGTGGGGGTGAAGATCCGGTTACGAACGGGCCCGTCGCGGAATCCTGCGGTCACCCCCCCGGCGGAAGTCGCTCTACCGGCAGAACACTTGTCGATGACATCATCAAAGTGAGTCCCTTAATTGATTCCTGCTGCGCTGTCATGTGCTTTATGCGCCAGGCCCCGCCCACTGCCATGCCCGCCGCGTTCTACAGATCGTTAATTGTTTTGTGGAAAAAATATGCCGTCACTGTAGTTTGTCATCCCCTGACCCTGTAATTAAATGGAGAATGTAATGCCATAAAGGGCCAGTCATTAAGGGGTTTGCTAGAAGCTCCTTTTACCTCCTGCCGCCATCGTGTGCTGAGACTCAGGCCAGTCGCAGGGCCTGACAGTGCTCAGTCTACCTAAGCAGCTCTTCAGAAGATGAGCGTGCAGACTTTGAGGCTCACAGTGGATCTGGCGAGGCTGCCAGTCACTTCCGCGTACAGGGGTGGAGAGTTCAAGTCCAGAAAGAAAAAAAAAACCAGACCAAGGTTTTGTTTCAACCAACCAGTTGAGTACTCGGTGACTGTGACTCTTTATGCTCAACTGGCTAGTTGAAACAAAATCTTGGTCTGGATTTTTCCGTGGCTCATATCCTACGGCGGCTGGCCAATGCTGTCGTGGTCCTTTTCATCCTTCGACCGTGGTTTGTAGCATCCAACCCTGC